CTACCTCAAGATTTCTTAAGTGTTCACCGGTAACAACTGTTCCAGCTGTGTCTGAAAATGCTTGACAGGAGGTACCCATGCTGCCAAGACTCAGATGCTGACTTGATTTTTCTGTCCAGGAATCATAATAAAAATCACATTTAGGTTCAAATGCCACTTATAATTAAAAGAGACAAAGATTTTTTTACAAACAAAAAGGTTTTTTTCTGTATTTTTCTTATATTCTTCCAGTGACACTTCAAATCAAGAAACACTACTGAAACGGTTTTATTTGGGGTTGGTTTGGGTTTTTTTTAATTTATTTCCTATAAAAGCAATAGACTTCTAGAAATAATCTCCTCTGCCATAATTGCTCAGAACTTTCATATACAAGCTCAAAAAGGTGGAAAGAATAAAGAAAAGCTTTCTTTTTAAAAGAGGAAAAATGATTTGTAATGTCCTTCCACTCTAAAACAAAACAAAACCAAGAACTGTGCAGCTTTTCATAATTAATGTAGTATGAAAAGCAACATTTATTGAATATTTTTTAATCACAGCATTCCTTTGAAAAGCTGTAACTAATTCATTTGACAGTCCAGCTGAGATATGTTTACATCCATATCTACTTCTAAATCCTGTGCTAAACAAAACAGGGTGGTTTTTGCAGCTGTAGTCATGCACTTAGGACACTCAAATAATGTCAAATGTAAATAAATGAGCAATTTACTTTGTGTTTACAGTAAAAAATGTTATACATAATAATGTATTCAGCATGTTACTTAATTCACCGCATCTGACTTTGCATATTTTTGCACTATTTTTTTTAATGCTTCAGTCCAGCAATTAGCATAGTGAATCTTATTAAATATATCAAAGATGTCTTCTTACTTAACACAGTGAAGAGAAAATACACACCTGCAAAATATTGTTTTAAACACTAATAATTTAAGAAATATTAAGTGGCATAGAAACTGTTACCATCTTAATACACTAGACACAACAGAACCCATTAAAAGAAATACCTACAGCAGCACCGTCCAATCAATTTGATTTGCCGGCACCCTGTAATCTTTCACTGGAAGGGGAAAATCCCTGTAAGGCTAACTGAAGCCCACTGAGGATAAGTTTGGGCTTTGTTTCTGATGACTTTTCACAGATCCCCTAGAAAATCTCTCTCCAGAAACCTCAGGATGGACCAGAAGCTGAAAGCCAGTGTCTCTGCGGTACTATAAATAGCCTGGCATGCTTCAGAGCTCACCAGTCACACTAAAACCCTGACCCTGCTGAAGTGACCAGCTATTTTTCATTTAATCCTTAATTTATCACAGAACTAGTAAGAGTCATAAAGGAATGTGCTCAATTAGTTTCCTAACGCTATTTCCCAGTGCAGCCAAGAAAGTCAAGTTAGGCCAAAATCAAAGACTTTTAAATTTCACTCTCTAATTTCTGCACAGCATTACATTTACACATGCAGTGGAGGGAAAGGTATTTTAGACCACCGCAACTCTGCTCCCTAGCAGGTAATTCACATCTTGTAGTACAACAGCACGTCTTCCTGCGGTCTAACCTTTCTGTCACACTGAAGAAAGAAACCCACTCAATGCCAGTCTGTCAGTTTATTCACCCAAACCAAGGGAATGCTCTAAAGCCAAACTGAACAATGTGTCTCTGCAGTCATTCACAGCTGCTCCATCCACTACTAACCCATATAGACACCTCCCATGCCATTGTCAGAGATGCAACATGCTCCTGTGACACTTGGAACATGTCATTGCTGCACAGCACACATTACCCCTTCCTTCTGCATCGAAGTTGCTTCTGCCTTTCATATGTGCCCATTTAAATTACCATTTTTAGAATGCTGAGCCTCATGTAAATGAGATTCAGGACTGTAAGTGCAATGCCAAAGTTAAAAAAGGATTTATCACAAAATGCAGTATTTTCACCTCTTGCCACAGAATAAATGAAACATGCTTATTTTGATCCCTGTAGTTCTCCTTAGAAACTACAAAAAATTGAGGCTGTTTAATTAAAATAATATGGCAGCCACTTCCTCGTTGCAAACTCTAAAAACCAACCTTGAAGCAATTGTAAAAGCACAAGCGTAGCTCATGCTACAAAGCATTTCATTCTCAATTATTGTTCAATGTGATGAGTCATTCAAGTTCACCACTGCAATATGCGTGTCAGTAATTCAATCCTGGATATTCTTCATTCTTACTTGTTCTGATATGCTACAGGTGTGCTATGACAGTCAAAAAGGACCTGTGTAAAAAAAAAAAAGATTTCAGCAGAAAAAAGCTGAATTCTCTTTAGCAATCATAAAACCATCACAAAAAAACGTATCACTAGCATTCACCTTCATGACTCACTTAAAAATAGTCTCACGTTCCTTGCCAAAAGCACAGTACTACTGCATCACCTTTTCCAGATTTTTACCCTAAAACTGAAATACAATGTACTGCTCTGCCCACAGCACGTTGCTAATTATACCCCAAGTGGAAAGCATTTAGCTTCTGTATTTTCACTCTTCTGCTCTGTTCATTACAGCATTTCACACTTTATAATTGAATGCATACTAACATCAAAGCAGCAATCTTTATCAGAAAAGCAATAAACTTGACTTGTCACCCTACCTTTATTCCAAAGCAAAATATGTAGAGATATAAATGACCATTTCTGGGAAGAAGATAATATAACATGTGAAACACACAGGATCTTAAAGTTTTAAGTCAATCACATCCCTTTGGGCACATTCTGTACAACAAACATAACATTAATCAGACACATATACCAGGGTATGTTTGAAAAATTAGCATTTTCCATTGTGTAATGGTACACAAAGGAGACAAGGTTGTTGTTTGCTTGCTTTTTAACATGAGAATAGGAAAACAAAATATTTACTACTTCTTATGCAAATATTAGCAATAAACAGTGTTGTTCAACGTTTTCTTTTTTAAAAGAATCTTTCAGCAGACCGATTTAGAAGTAAAGGCATTTTCTAAAGAAAAATCTTCTTGTCCACTCAATTATCTACCTTTAACAACAAACAAATCCTGTGTTACAGTTTCATTTCTACCAAAATCAGTAAGATTCTCCTGTAAAAGGATTACATTCAGTAAGCCTGGTGAAGAATGTTGTATAACACATCATCTTACAATGATGAAATTTGATCTACACTGATGCTCAAAAAAATATGCCAGCAGGAAAATCTGATAGCAGCCACACTCACCACAGAAAGCACTTTTCTTCCTTTGGTATGACCCCACCATACCAATTCTCTAGTGCCATAGAGAGGAATTAATTGGCAGTCTCTATTCTGGTCATTCATACATTTTCTGCTATCAGGAAAGTTCTTTACAGAAACACAACTCTTTATTAATGACAAGCTTGACTCTACACATTTTAAGTGTCCCCCACATCAAACAGAACATTTTCCTTCCATTTGAGAGTCTCTCTCATACCAATCACTGGTAGGTAAAAGGATGTGCTAACAGCACAGCTCAATCCACACAGCAATGATGCAGTGACCCAGAAAGAGAATCTAATGGCCAACTGAATAAACAAAGCAAACTAGTCAAAACCAAAGGGCAGCATGCACATCAGCATCTTCTCCATTTAATTGGTACATACTTAAACCTAGTCTCATATTTCCACATCCTGCAACAAGACTTCACATTCCCATGACCAGCACTTCCTCCAGTGTTTCCAAGATACTCACTATGCAAAAGGGGAAAAATGGGTTCCCAGGTTCACAGAAAAGAGAAAAAAATACGGAGAAATGAAAAGTGATCATTGTATTACACATTCCAAACACAAAATGCAATCTGCAGTCAAAAGTTATGCTGACCACTAGAGATGGTTCGAAACAAAACGCTGGATTCAAGCATCATTATTCCCTTTGGCGAAAGGTGGCTGTAATTTTTTGAATGAGCCTTATACAGATATATACAAGAATCTCTCTCTCATCTATACATATTAAACTTTCTATAACTTACAATACACCCACAACACCTGCATATAGAAAAAAGCCTGTGGAAGCAGGTATTTCAGACTAAACATTTATCCCCTGCTCTCTTTTTTCCTTAAAAAGAGGATTGTTACTAACGTTACACAAGAACCAAAACCACCCACCTCTAAATCTTTGGTGCAGCTTATGTCAAAAGAGCAACATATATTAAGAGTCCAACAAGTAGCATAAAAGACAAGAAAAAACACATTGTATCTTTGGTTTTAATTTCAGTACATACAATGTCATTCCACCCACTAAACAATGCAAAGCTTCGATTTGGACAGATTCTTTTCAAGGAGCACATCCAAACGCAGCCTAACTAAAAAGCAGAAAAAACAAAGTCCTCACACCTGTCTGAGACACTGCATGCTACTGGGCGTCACCTGCGCTTTCCATGAAGCATTATGCAGAGAAAGGTAGGTACCAGGATGATGATAAAGCACAGCTAAAATATCAGCTTTTACCACCCCTTTCAGAAAAAATGAATGGAAAAGTTTTTGTATCACTGTAATCAGGACAATGCTTACACTCTGAAGTTACAGCATTTTACTGCAGGGCATCTGAACGTTTTTTCTGATTAGTCCCACTTACTCCTTTTCCTCACAAAAGCTGCCACATGCAGCTTCCAAAAACTTGGCAGACTTTACCAAGCAAATCTTCCACTCCCCTGCCGTTCCGTAAGTCTTCCAAGCCCAACTTTAATACTGCGTAAAAGCAATCAACTATCAAATTTTAACTGCCTTAACACACGTTTAATTTGTCTGGAAAGTGGGAGGCACTGGGGAATGAAGGAGTAAATAGGCCAGACCAAAACCAGATTAGTTTCCAGAGCACCTCCCCATCATCAGCCTCATGCACTCGAATTTACCAGAAAGACTCCAGCAGATCCTAATCACATTCGGATTAGTCTTGGACCTCCTTCATACCACCCCATCAGGTTTCAAGTAGAAATACTACACAGAAAACATTGCCATCATTTCCTTTAAAGTGTAACACACATTTTTCTTACCTCGCTGTTGTGGCCCCTCAAATTGAAGTTGATTCTCTGAGGGGTGTTCCGGTCCCTCCTGCAATGGCTGGAAGTAAAAGTGACACCTACAACTCCTCTGCCATTGCCTGTTGCCAACCAGCCTTCCTCATAGTACCGCCTCCTGCACACTGGTTTCTCCTTCTCACTTTTGGGGACTCTCCCTTTCCAGGAGAGGCAGAGGATGTTGGAATCGCTGCAAAGAACAGGCCCATGTTCCACTGCTGCATACATGCTTTTCAAATATTTTATTTTTTGACATAAGAAAGTAATATGTCTAGTGCACAAAATTTAAATCAATTTTTTTTTTTTATTGATAAGACTGACCTGGGATAGATCATTGAAAGGGAGGAGGATGGGGTCAGTGTTTATAAATATCCACCAAATGCATAGTGAAAAATTCCTCTATAAAAGATGATGGCAGTTGGCTAAGAAAAAGTAACACTTAAAAAAAAATTCAGGTTCATTTTTGTTTGAGTCTGTAGAGTGAGGGTGCACTTATCCTTTGGAGAAACAGCTACTTCATAAGAGGCGCTCAAGAAATGGTTAAGTCATCTTTTTGCTCAACTTGATATAATCTTTATACAGCCTGAGATTCCAGTTTAGCGTAATGCAATTCCAGAGACAAAGAGTTGCAAATGTGTAGGTTTCAAGTAACTTAAGGCTTTTAAGATTTCCTCCAGTCAGATTTTCTTTCAAAGTTCAGTTGCAGAAATTTAAACACACGCACATACATATATATGTATATATATGACATTCATCTTTTCCAAGCTGCCCTCTGGCATATCTTTTCCGTCTGATGTATTTCTGCTGCTAAAGCTGAAAGAGATTGCATAAAGGGAAAAAAAGGCACACAAACCGTGCAAAACAGACCCGAACTTGTGCAGGCACTGGTGTGCCAGGCCAGTTGGGAAATCCCTCTTGGTACTGAACCG